TCACGCGCCGCCTTCGCCAGCTTCCGAGCCTTTCATCATCCGCGGGCCTCGGGTTTCGCGGTGAGTGTTGTTGGTGGAGCCGCCCGGGCGGGTGCAGCAGGTGTAGCGCGGGGGTGAACAGCGCTACAGCGTGTTTTTATTCCTGCCGTGGAACAAAAAAACTACTGTGGAAGTTTCTTTGTTCTGTGTCTGCAGTTTCTAATTAAAATAATAACACGTCAGACTGTGACGAAAACTGTCACTCGTCATCCTCTTTGCCAACATTTACTCAGGACTTTCCAGTCCAGCAAACTTTGTTTTAAGGTAGAAGATCCTGGAGTTTTGTTTAGATTGGGGTAGTTGTTCTTGTTGAGGTTGGAAGGATGGGATGTGGTATCATCTATATATATATGTGTGTGTGTCTGTGGCCAAGTAAATTAGTATTAGGTAAATTTATTGGGTACTGTTTTTTCTGATGGATTCAGCTAGAGTAGTCATGTTGCATACAGTGATAGCAGGCTAAGTAATTTTAAAAGGTTACGCAAACATTAAATGGAGTCAGTGTTTTTCTCTGGGTGTTTCAAGATAAAATTTAAAATAAAGGAGTGGGGGGGGACACGCCTGTAAAATTTTGTGCTGTAAGTTTGTGGTTTGCAGTTCACTAAGGTTAAGGAACTATTTAGAATTTCAGATTTTCTAGCAAAAATATGTAAAGGTTGAACTCTGAATATGGTGAAAACTTATTGTCTGTGTTGAAACTTAAAAGGAAGTCCCAGGGAGGGTGCGGGTCACTTTTGGACTTATAAACGTTTTGTATTTTAAATTGGCTTATGGTGGAAACAAACAAACAAACAAGTCGACCTGTAGCTTTTCTTTAGAGAGACAGTGGCAATAAGGTTATTTAATGAGCAGCCAAATACATGCAATGGTTGGGCCAGGGAGCGAGCTGGTGGAAGACCAGGGCGCTGAGTGAGCAACTGTTAAGGAACCAGAACCAGTGAAGTGCCTGGGTCACCCACGTATTAAAATAAACAACATACCCCCAAAGCTGTAGGAATATAATAGTGTTAGAGAGTCTCTCTCTGTCAGATTTGGTTGAAGTTGTCTAATGAACCCATGAGAAACACAGCTGATAGTCTGATAGTAGTTGAGTAGGTGGATGGACCCATAGGAAGACAGAGTGCAGTTCTATAAGCCTTTATTTCCGTAACTGAGGAACAAATTGGAATGGTACATTCTCTAAGTTAAACTTTGCCAGTGTTTCATGTGTCCAAATATTGTGCCAAGGTCTTTCAAGACTGCAACTCTTTTTTAATTATTATTATTTTCAGGTAGACAATTAGGCTGACTTAATTCCTCTGCTGAATATGTTCTCTGAAGCTAGAGGAGGTCTCTGAGCAAAGTTTTATTTCAGAAAACTGGAGCAAATTTCATGGCCCTTTATCCCTGTTCCTATTGTATTCCATTGATATTTTCATAATTTGATATTAAAATTGCATGGTCTGTCCTGCCTAAAGCTACTTTTTTCCTTTTTTTTTTTAACATTTTTTAAAAAATTTCTTTTTCTTTTAATACACTCTGAGAAGGCAGCAGCAGAACACCAACAGTATCCAGCATCTGTGGGCTGTTAGGAAAAAAGTCTGTCTTAGTGACTGAGAATGAAAGCTGAAGAGGATTCTGTGAGTAGGTGAATCTGGCCATTGAGTTAAGGTTAGTCTTTAGTCTCTTAGTAAACTGAAATAGAGTATTTGATGTGAGATTGAGCTATAACTCTGTTATGTTTTATTAACCTTATTTTATAGAAATATGCCATTTACTCTCTCTGATTATATTAATGTGAATTTTCTAGATTTTGTGTATTTTGTTAGTGCTGCATTTTGTTTAGCAAAACAACCAAAGTTGTTTTAGAGTTAATTATACTTAATGAGGCCTTACTTTTTATAACTATTTTAAACATGCATGTTTGCAGGGTCTTCTGTATGCAGTAAACTATGCAATATTAGTAAATTGTTGAATATTTTTATTATATAAAATTCACAGGGTAGATCCTGAGTCTGGAGTTTGAGGAAGGAAGATAGATTTTTTCTTAATGCTCTGTAGAGCCTGAGGCCATGGCAGTGTATTCATTAGAACTGGTTTTATGCTGTGTTGGGTTACCTGGCAGTCTGGATGTGCTCCGGACGGAGAGAGTGCACAATAGCATCTATGTAGAGCTGGCCTGTGATGAAGTGCTTAGCTAGCTCAGGCAAGACAGATGAGACTTTGTCCAGCAGAGCATACTGCTACAAAGTTACCTGTTCAAATTTTGAAAATGCACTTGTGTCAGGAAATATTTCTTATCTGCGAAAGAATTTGCATTATGTGGCTTAATTGTTCATGTAGTGCTGAGATGCACTAAAACTGAGTTTACAGTGTCCTGAAACCACAGCCTGAATGTATCCTTTCTATGCGGGTGGCGTAGGGACGAGCTGTGCTGGTGAGGGCCCTGTACTCTCATTGCCCCCAGCTGTATTGTTATGGATGAGCAAAAGGCTTGATTTTCAGAGAGAGGAGGTTTGGAATTCACTCTATTCAGTGAGCTGTAGAATAGTTCAGATAGAATGTTTTTATGCTAGAGAGAATTTTTTGAAGATAATAAATATCTCAATTCTTAGAATTAAAACAGTTATTTAGACCTTTGGCTTTCTTTGAAGGTATACTTAAAAATGAAACTACCAAATTCTAGGGAGGAGTTTTTCTGTTAATAATATGACCACTTGAAATGATTTTACCACCATTCCTTTCAACAGTTCACTGTTTTTGTATTTTCTTGAATAAACCATACCTTCTGCACATAAAACATTCTCTCTTCATCTACTGAAACACGTCTTGTGCATATGATGCTACAAATAGACAAGTTTTAAGTTAAATTGGTGATTTATTGGCTGGCTTTGCATATGTGCTTTTTTGTTTTTTAGCCAGCCTAAGAGTTTTCTTTTAAGCTGATGAAAATGGGTATGCACGTAGCAAAGCCGTATTTGCTGCAAGAAGAAAGGTAATATGGTAACATGTACAAAATAATGTTTTCTTTTTAATGTGAACTCTTTTCTTTTAATTCCAGAATAGCAGAGTATAAATTAATGTGTAATATTCCATAACATCGTCAGTGGATTCTTTCTCTTTGTCTTCCTTTAAATTTTTTTTTTTTTTTTAGCAGTGAAGCTATATATCTTGCATGTTAAAAGAATTTACCTTTCCTTGCAGCTTGTTTTGAAAATGTCTGAAAATTCCAGTGATAGTGACTCATCCTGTGGCTGGACTGTCATCAATCATGAGGTATCCAATCTCAAATTAATGACGTTAGCTAAGTCTAAGACCTGCTATATACAGTAAAATTTTGTTTCCATTTTTATGGTTTCTGTTTGTTGTAGATATTGCATCCCAGCAGAGCATATAGAAGAAATAAATTTAAATATGAAAATATCATTTTAGGGCTAGTGTTTAAAAATGTTTACCTTGGCACTATAGCTGATAGATTTATTTATTAAATAATGATTGCATAGTTTTTACTTGAAGAGCTGAAAGTTTATGGAGATGTTCTTTTGTTCTATCTTTTCAGAAAAAAAATGATTTTATGTAATCTATCTGTTGTTAGTATATTTCTCCCTTTTTCTTCTCCTTTCCTCTCCCAAAAAGGAGATAGTGATGGGTAGAGAAAATATCTAATGCAGGAAGGAAATGATTCAGTGCTTTCTCCAAGTCTGTTATACCACTAAGCTACCTGTTCCTACCTTCAACAGCTGCTGTTTAGGAACAGACCTCTGTCTTCAGATTGTCTTATTATGGAAAAAATGTGAGAAAGACAAAAATCTAACAGCTGACTAGGATATTATTAAAAGGCACTTTCAAGTCTGTTGGACATGCTACAGTCTTTATGTCTTTATTTGTGTATAAGCAATTGCTTTTGTTCCTAATTTGGCTTCTCCATATTCAGGTTAAGTTCCTGAACTGGTAATCAGGAGGTTGAGTGCTGGCATAAAAAAAATCTCTGAGATGTGCTGCCTCTAACTTTTTGTACTACCTGAGTCTATTTACAGAATACTTAGCTGTTTTGGAAAAAGATGCGCAGAAACTTACAGGGA